TGCGCATTGGTCAATTATCTTTGAAACAAGCCGGAGAAAAAATAAAAAAAGTGACTTAGCTTGATTAGTGGATGATGATTGTCGACGAAGCCGTGGCGATCGTTGATGAAGCCGACTAGTGAGAGCCAATTCCGACTAGTTGTCGATCACGTGGAATCCATCCTCGACTAGTTTTCTAGACGAGAGGAGTAGTCGAAGTTGTCGCCGATGAAGCCAACTAGTCGGTCGATTCCGACTAGTTTGTCGACGATGTGGGGCCCACCCCGACTAGTTTTCTAGTCGAGATGAGTAGTCGAGGTAGTCGTTGGTGGGTCGCGGAGGCACAATCGGATAGCTTGATGCGGTCGGACAGACTTGCTTTCGACTTTAGGCGGCTCGCCATCGGCTCGATCGACTTCGGCCGGTGGTCATTGATCTCGTACATGTTGGAGTCGTCTTGCTTGAAATCGACTTGCATGTAGATGGCTCGGTTAAATCGCGGCGCCGGTGCTTCCCGTGGCGTGGCCGAGTAGAACTCCTTTGTTTGCTATATGGATGGTCGTCTTTGTAGGCGTATGGCTCCAAGACTTGCTTTGTAGCATTGGCATGCTTGATGGATGCGTTACAGCGTGCAAGTGCCTCTCCATGACTTGTTTGTAGTAGTCGGCTTGGGCGATTACTTTCGGCACCAAATTCCGACTAGCAGTGCAAGCACTCGTGATGTCGAACTCATGTAGAAGTAGGACTCCCACAGCACACGTATTATGTTGCGGCTTTGTCAAAACTCATGCGGTACGCACGTTGCTAGAGAAGGCGGCAACACCCGATGTTGACAGCCCGTGTGTCGTGTCCAGATACGACGTCAGGCTCTCTTGGATGAAATCGTTGCGGCTGTCTCGTGACCGAGTTGATGTCGAATTGAAGTAATTGATGAGTTGACCATGTAGGACGACGGGGATCTACACGAGAAACCGAGCTGCCGCGGACGGCACAAGAGATGCACGTTGATCCCGCCGGAAAAATCATGTTGTTGAGGTCCGTTGAGCTCTTGGATGCAAATTCACCGAAAGCCCCTACCCGGCACGCCAGCTGTCGATGTTTTACCATCGATAGCCTGCCACGGGGTTACCCGGGACAGTATGTTCGGGCTTCAGCGTATGCGGAACTCGACGGTGAACGCAGGAGACAGTCGATTTATCCTGGTTTGGGCCCTCGACTATAGTCGAGTAATAGCCCTATGTCCAGTCGGCGTTAGCCTTGCGTTGGATTGATTGTGTGTTGTTGTGTTGTAGAAGTCGTGATCTCCTCTGACCTGACCTCCGATCTAGGATTCTTGCCCTCCTTTATATAGTCCAGGAGGCAAGAGTCCTAGTCGGTTTACAATGTAGAAGTCCTATTAGGATTACAGGGTAGCACTACTACTAGGATTACATAGGAGGAATCCTAATCAAATTAGATCTTCTCTTTTCCTTGCGAGGTACCCCATGGGTCCCGCATCGACATCACCATAAGATCAATTTATGTTCCGATGAAAGACGTCTCGTCGGTGTCCAAGTGGTATTCCCATGACTAGTTCAAGCCTGAGAACCAAGTTAAAAAAGTCACATCACGGGGTTCTGAGGAGGCCGTCACTAGCAAACTCCACCAAACAGCAAAGCAGTATCCAAATGTTGATGCCATCAAATGGTCAAAGGATTGCCCAAAAACATATGAAAGAGGCAAGCCCTTCCTATCAAACCGGGACATCCAGCGCCTACCACTTGGAATGAGAAGGTTCCATGATTGGTACTTGCATGTTCTCCCAATGAGCATAGACCTCATACAAGCATGCTTCTCCACCGACACATTTGGAAGCCTAGCCGGGAAAATTGTCTTTGACTTCAGTGACATACAGGCATGCTTTCACCTCAGAGCAATGGAGATGAATCTAATTCGCACGTGGTGCCTGTAAGTCCTTGTCCTTCCGATATGATATGAATGTAATCTTTGAATTTTATTGTAACTAACCCACGCCGTGATTTGTAGAATGCAAGTGCACATTGTCAAACAAATATCAAGTGTGAAAGCCGGGTATATAGACCCTCAAGCTATAGCACAAACAAATTTTAATTACCCTAAAAAGTGGAAACTGGATGACAAAGAGCTAGCTACTAGAAAGACTCTTCGGGAGAAAGAGCACATCCGTACGGCAAAACTAATGGAAGAGTCCCTTAAGGTTGCGGCATACATTGCCCTGGCTTTCAAAATTCTCCAACATCACTCTACTATATGGCTACCATACAACTTCGAGTAAGTTCAACTCTATACTTAAAGCTTTGTTCGATATATTTTATTCGATGCAAAAGAGCTTATCTAGTTCTATGATTAAATGCATGCAGCAACAACTGGATTTGTATAGGCGTCGATGTCGAGAGGAGCATGGGTCTTTGATTCAATAGATAGGGACCCGGTGACATACAAAGACTTTATATCGATTCTCAAGACGTATACATATCGATAATCCTCATTAGCTTATATGTTTGTATACATACTTGTAACATTCACTTTTGGATACTAACAAGTTGTATTTGCTAAAATAATTCGAACAGGGCATTCATGTTCTATGTCACTAAACATCACGGAAGGCATGATCCAGCAAGGAAGAAAAAGCTGGCTATAAAAACACTATGTGCGGTAAGTGTAACTTACTTCTTCAATACTCCATTACATGGTTGTCAAAAACATTACTTAACATTTTCATATGTAAAACACACAGTGTCCCAAGCAGAAGCCTGGGAGTGTACATTGTGGATACTATATATGTTCTATGATGAGTAACACTGGTGTCTACAGGAGACACCCTTTAAAGGTAAGTTTGAACCTCTTCACCCGTAGTATAAAAACTTTGTACATGGTATGAAATACTAAACCGAAACTTGTTCTCTTATTGTGGAAAGAGGAGAAAAAAATGAAAAGAGACCCATAAAAGGATGACCAACTCTTAGAGCTCGTCGATGACCTTTGCAACTTCATATTGGACCAGATTGTACACGTCAAAGGCACCTACAATGACCGAGAGTCTGACTTAGGTAGAAATCCTCAGTACCAACATCTTCGTGAGACTGAAAAGCTAGCTCTAGGACCTTGATAATAATATGTATGGAATTTGACATTGGTTTTACCTTGTGAATTATGTCTATTTAATGATGGATTGTATATATTCTTGTGAATTAGACTTGTATTTGTAGTTTATATAATACTCTTGTACTTGTATATATTCTTGTGTATGGAATTAGACTTGTAATAATTCGTGAGATTGTACACGTCAAAGGCACGCGGTTCGGAACGTTGGTCGCGGGGCGTTCGACGGGATTATCTCGCTTTCCTCGCTCACGTTGGTCGAGGGGCGTTCAGCAACACGAACGCTGGATGGAATACGCGGAAACAAACAATGTTCTGGTCGAATTTGAATTTTTTTTGCGGAAAAACGTACTGTAGGGACGGTTCTAGACTGAACCACCCCTACAAACAAGTATTATAGGGGCGGCTGGTAATACAGCCGCCCCTACAAATGTATGATTTGTAGAGACGGTTTGGTTGTGGCGGCTAGACAAGCCGCCCCTACAAATGGTCTTCAGCCGCCCCTACAAAACGTTTATATAGTAGTGGTCGTTGTCACGGCGGATCGCGCAGAAGCATCCATTTTGTTGTCCATCAAGTAGTCACATAAACGAACTTATCATCAGAAGCCTTTATTTTGAAACCTGAGAATTGAGAGGATAACATAACATACATTATCCAAGGCGTGGGGCTGGGGTAATGGGAGCAGCTAGGCCCAACTTGCCCTGCAAGTGAAGCAAAGTGTTGTGGTCCGCTCTTCTCTCTGGACAAGCTAAGGTGGCGGACAATCAAGGGGGAATAGGATCCCCTCTCTAGCTCGCCCTTTGCGGCTCGTTGGCCTTGCTTTAAATTATGTTCTGGAATTGAATCAGCACTCATCACACTCTATTCTTGTAATGAGCTCACATCACCACCCAAAGAAGTCCCAACGTTAACTTTGGATGATTTCACCGACACCAATCAATCAATGTCACCGTCACCGACGACGACAATGACCAACTTAATTAGTTTCGGATTGTGATCCCTCCTGAAAAGGCCCAGCTTTGGTTTAGAATTGGTTACCCTGCAAACTCTGAACGCCTGATTTTCTTGGTGTGGTGAGAATATTGGCACCTACCGGCGCAGTACTATGACGTACGGCCGTGCAGCTACCAACACAAGCCAGGGAAGTCCTCCCCAAGAAAGAATCATGGTTCATTCCGGTTCATTCATCAGTACGTATTACAATGCAGATCAGAAACGTGCACAAATCGTAGCAGTATACACAGCTTGGAATCTATGGAAGGAGCGATGCAGACGAGTATTTGACAACAAGACTACGGAGGTGCAGCGCTTGCTGGAATCAATTCAAGATGACATCCAGTCGCTTCATATGGCAAGAGATCATGAACCTGAATAGTTTCTCATAGTTACAGGCCTTGGATGGCTGTAGCTGTTTATCAGTTTATGTTTATGTTTCTTTACTTTTGATTTCACTTTTCGGTTCAGACTTTCTCTATCTTTGTTGTACAGTTTGTTAACTGCTTCTTATTGAATGAAAAGGCAGAGCCCCTGCCAATCTTGCTCAAAAAAGAAAAATATTACAATGCCAATGGTATATATAGCCAATGGCATTCTTGACTGCTAGCTCGTCTAATACTAAGATTTCACTGAAAGAAAAATACATACTGGTCTGGTCTGTGCACAAAGTAGGATATATAGACTTAATTTTGCCAGTAATCATACAGGCTTATAGACTTAAGTTCACGGAAAAGTTCGATTGTATCTCATCACACAAGCAGATCAAATGGAAAGGCTACAAAATTAAAACTACAATTTTGATTCTTCTCCATTAATGATTTCATGCATCTTCACGTGTTCACAAAATCGTCAAATTAAAGCCGACATACGTGTGGATCAAGAGGAGACCGAGCACTCGATGATCATTGCCTGATGAAGAGGTTGTACTCGACGGTGGCGTCGCCGGTTTTGAGGTCGAAGGTGTGCGTCCGGGCCTGCGCGTACCCGCGCGCCATCCTGAACACGCCCGTGCCGCCCACGACGGCCATCTCCCGGACGGCGTCGAACACGGCGTTCCGGCCCATGATGGCGACGCTGCTGCCGTTGTACTTTCCCGCCTGGAACACGAAGTTCATGTTCATGAGCAGGGACAACTCGTCCTTGCCGGCGCTGATGTAGGTGCCCTGCGCACGCCCGAGGAGGCCGGAGGAGGAGGAGTTGAGGTCGGGGCCCTCGCTGAGCGGATCGTCGATCACCATCACGGCGCCGAAGAAGCTCTTGGAGGTGTTGGTCACGGCGGCGCGCGCCACCTCCACCACCGTCGGGCTCGCGCCGCTCGCCACGTCGTGCCAGTACAGCTTGATGTGCGTCTCCTTGTCGTTGTCGCCGCCCGCCGCGGATGCCGGCGCCACGACGGTGGCCGCGGAGGCGAGGACGAGGAGGAACATCGAGGCGGCCGCCATGGCGCGCGCGCGCTTGGTGGCTGAGATATGGGTTTGTTGGTATAATCAGTGCCGTCGAGTTGTGGTGCGCCAGTGGCGTTTGCGCGAGCCTGCTGGGAGATCTGGTGCATGAAAGGCAGCAGGATCGGAGCTTTGACAGTGACCACTGACCAGCAGTTGTATATGCATGGCGTGTCTGGGTGGTTGCTTTTTTCCCTCAACTGTTTGTACTTTGGTCAGAGATGCCATCGTGTGTGTAGAAGGGTCTACGAAGAACAAGTGCCGTCGTGTGGTAGTAGGTTCTAGAAGGCGATCGATGGGTAGAAATTAGGGTTATTTGGATTCTTGCCATTATAATTTCTTAAGTTTTCAAGAACGTCATCACTATTCGTCTTATCGGAAATTTGCCATTGCTATTCTGCTTCTCCCTCTCTCTTGCCCTTTGCTACGTCTGGAGCATAGCCAGGCCCACCTGCAGGCGCCGTATTTCGGTATTGGGCCGTAATGCCTCTGTACGAGAGGATAAGGCAGCACGCCGCCGTTCTTCTCTGTCGCCCCCGTTCTTCTCTCGCCTTCTTCCCCCTTCTCTGTCGCACGCCCGCGCCGCCGTCCATTCTTCTCCCCTCATCCCTCCGACCAAACCCTAACCCCATCTCTTTCCGCGGCGAACCAGGCGTGAGCGGTAGCGGCGAATCGAGGCGTGGTTGGCGGTGGCGATTGGAGGTGGTGGCGACGGAGACAAACCCTAACCTCGCGTGCATTGGAGGTGATGGAGGCACACTGATGGCGGGGAGCTTAGGCCTAGCGCCTACGTGCGCGTCCACTGCTCCGGCGGTGATGGGGGACAGCGGCAGCAGGTACCCTTTCTGCATCCTTCGTCTCCATGTGGTCAACACAGTTGGCGATTAGTTGGTATTCTGATGATTTGTGCATGTATACACTTTGATTTGGGGATGAATTTACTGCTTCTTAGGGGTGGGATGTTTGCGCTAGAGGTTAAAGTCGAAGCTTTTTCTTCCAAAGACTCGACTGGTAGGAAATCATACACAAAAGGCCGAGTGTTTAAGTGGGATGTGGAGTATGGGTCACTGACACTAGACTTGCTGTTGAAACATCTGGCAACTGAAATGAATCTTTGCACTAACCAGACACCCACTGTTTGGTTCTTTGACAAAAGATTGAATGAGGATGTCAGACTAGTTGATGAGATACAGATGGTTGATTTGTTTGAAATGCATAAGGAGGAGATGACCTGCCAAGTTATAGTAGGTGTATTTGATAGTGCAATTTGTGTGGAACCTGAGTTTGATGCACTGGAGCCTCTCTGTGTGGTTCCTCCTGATGATGCAGCAGAATTAGGTACTCATGATGCTAACATGCCTAAACAACCCAGTAGTGGTGGTACTGAGCCAACAACCTTGCCATGTGCTTCTCCTGAGAATCCAGAGGTGGCTGATGAGTTAGAGCCAGATAGAGAGGCAGCCAGAGAGCCAGATATCTTTGATAACGATGAAGAATACGTGGGAGTTGATGATGAGGCCATGTATGATGAAGCGCCACCTACTGAGTTTGCACAGCCACAACCATTTGACAATGCTAACACTCATGCTACTGCTGATCCATTTGATGACTTTGTCCATGTTGAGGCAGAGGTGGATGATGCTGATCCTCTGGAGATCAGGGTATTGCATGACCCTGAGAACCCGAAGATTGTGAAGGGAGAGTTGTTTCCTGATATCATTGCATTCAGGAAAGCATTGAGACATTATGCTGTGAAGACTGTGTTTGATCTTGCTCCTGGTTACAAAAGTGACAAGCAAAGGTTCATAGCAAAGTGTGCTGCTGAGGGATGCCCTTGGCGCATACATGCTTCCACCATTTTTGATAAGAAAACTGTACAAGTACATTTCTTTTCTGATTTGTGATGTATCATTGTCTCTGTTAACATTTATTTTTTGATTTTTGATGTATTATTGTCTGTTAACATTTCCTTTTACCCTATGCTATTGTAGATCAAAAAGTTTCCTACTACCCACAATTGTCCTACCACCAAGCTAAGAGAAGGGAAAATGGCCAGTCAGGGCTGGTGTGCAGATAGGATTGGAGATTGGGTTAAGAATAACCCAACAAAGGGAGCAAAGGAGGCAAAGAAAAAATTGGAGGGTGACTTTGGAATAAAGTTGAAGTACTCAAAAGTGTGATCTGGTTTAAAGGTAGCCTTGGATCAGAAACATGGTAAGTATGAGGAAAGCTTTCAACTTCTTTTCAATTGGGCTGTACAGCTAGAAATAAGTTCACCTGGAAGTAGAGTACAAATAGAGTTGGAAAAGATTGGTAAGAAGAATAGGTTCAAGAGGGTTTTTGTTGCTTTGAAGCCATACATTGATGGATTCCTAGCTGGTTGTAGACCCTTTGTAGGAGTAGATGCATCTTTTCTGAATGGAAAGTATACTGGACAGTTGGCTTCAGCAACAGATGTTGATGGGCATAACTGGTTGTACCATATTGCATTTGGTGTGTTTCACTCAGAGACTGAGGATAACTGGAAGTGGTTCCTAGAGAATTTGCATAGTGTCATAGGAGACCCCCAGGACTAGTAATATGTAGTGATGCTTGTAAAGGGTTAGAGACAGCTGTGGGGGCTGCTTTCCCACATGCTAAAAATAGGGAGTGCACAAGGCACATGTACAATAACTTCATGAAACACTTCTCAGGGGATGTTTTCACTGACCATCTGTATCCTGCTGCAAGGAACTACACAGAAGGCATGTTTAGGTGGCATATGAAAAAAATCTTTAAGTTTGCTCCAGCTGCTATTGACTACCTTCAGAAGCATCATCCTAGGATATGGTACAGATGTGGCTTCTCTGAGGAGAGTAAATGTGATTATTTAACTAATAATATCTCTGAGAGCTTCAATGCTCAGATCAAGGACTTCAAAGGACTACATATCCATGAGTTAGTTGATAGGATAAGAGAGATCATAATGGAGAAAAGGTACATAAGGAAGAAGATTGCATAGAAATGGGGAGATGGAATCCTTCCTGGTGTCATGAAGAACTTGAACCTTATAAGCAAAAATCTGAAAGTTGTGAAGGTTAAAGTCAGTGATGATGAATTTGCAGAGGTAACACTGCTAGATGATTGGAATAACCATAAACGGCACACAACTGATCGTAAGAATCAGAAGTGTTCATGTAGGGAATGACAGGTAACTGACAAGCCATGCAAGCATGCCTTGGCTTGGATCTTGTCCAATAGAGGTATGCAGGTAGCTGACTTTGTGCATGATTATTACTCTGTTGCTAAGTTTAGAGCTACCTATGAAGGTAGAGTAGAACCAATGCCAGACAGATTCCAATGGCCACAAGTTGATCTTGGGTACAAGGTTTTCCCACCATTACTAGAAAGAACAGCAGGTCGGCCAAAGGTTGTGAGGCAAAGAGGGTGCCTAGAGAATAGGGCCAATAAAAAGAAAGTTAGATGTAAAAGGTGTGGAGGTTTTGGCCACTTCTCCAAGACTTGCAAGCTTGAAATGGTTGGAGAGGATGGTGAGACTGCTAGCACAAACAAAAGGTTAACATTAATTTCACTGATCTTCTATCATTTGTATTCTTTTCATCAAATAAAAGGTTAACATTAATTTCACTGATCTTCTGTCATATGTGTGTACACAGGAAGATACCACAAGATGATACTGCTGGACCGTCGAAGGTGAAGAAGAATAAAGCACCAAAGAAGCAGAAAATCCCTAAGAAGAAAAAAAACACCACTGAAAAAGAAGCAGAAAAAAGATGTTGCTGCTCCTCAGCAAGGTTTGTGAGAAGCCTGATGGACCTCCTCTCTGGTGGACAGTGAGACTGTGATGGTTGCGATGGCTTTTTGTAATGCCTGTGATGGCCTTTTGTGAACTGGATGTACTGTTAGCTGTAAAGCATGTAACTCTTGAAAACTAGAACAAGTTGAATCGATGAACTGGATGTACTGTTAGCTGTGATGCCTGTGATAGCCTTTTGTGATGTCTGTAATGCTTGAGTACTTGAACAAGCTTGAAATGCTACTGTCATTAATATTGTCAGTATGCCTGTGAATTCATGCTGTCACTTGGTTCTCTTTCAGTAGTATCTATTGCTTTTGCTGTCATATGTGTGATCATGTACCTATGAATGGGTCATGCTCTATGCAATGCTTAGCACACTGATAGTTTTGTCATGTGATCAGTTAAGTGGTCATGCTGTCAAGTGGTCATGCTCTATGAATGGGTCATGCCCTATACAATGTTTCTTCAGAGAAGGATGCTGTCTGTCAATTGTCATGTGATGCTATATATTATATAGTCTGTCACTTGGTTCTCTTTCACTTGGCCATGATGCTTTGTGAGGTAATGAAATTGGATTAAAACTAGAGCACAAGTATGAGACCAATTGGATTACAACCAAAGCACTACAAATTATTTGAAAAACTTTTAGATTCCATTCATCAACTTCAGGCACTGGTACATTCAACAGATAATGAAAGCTTACAATAGCTAAGACCAACAGAAACTACATTGCATACAATTCACTACTTCCAAAGTTTGCTCATAAGACAACCAATAGCTACACCTACACAGACTGCTGCTATAACAACATAATCCATCTTGATCTTCTGAACTTGCGCCTTCACCACCGAAAGATCAGTCACAACACTATCAAGTTTCTGCTTCATTTCATTGAGTTCTAGCTTTAGGTCCAAAATGACCTCGACAGACCCATGTCCACCTTCTCCTGAACTCAAATGGCTCACCTTCTTCGATCGATTATGCTAATGCTGCTCTAGGTTGCGTAAGAATGCAACGTACTGCGCCTCGGACATTATGATGCCACATGTTGTTGGGTCACCCTGCATCCCACAAAACCCTAGCCGCATGACAAAGGGTACACATGAAAAACATCTAAGAAACTCCAAATTGAACACAAATTGACTTACTTTGATGTTGTTTGGGCGCTTGACGAAGGTCTTGCCATAAGTGGCACGCTGGT